GATTTGAGAACAGTTACTGGACTTGCATCATCCACCAGGATCTGTGCCTGCTAGGACCAATGTGGCTGGCGTGGCCTGTGGCCTGAACATGAACAAGAACTTAATGGGATGTAAGGAAGCAGGGGAGAAAATCCCCTTGTGTAAAATTGAAACAATTAAGCATCTCACAAGCAGACTTGCATTAAAAGTATTATCTGTTATAAAGACAACGTTTAAAATTTATTCTTACCACCTACAAAAATAAGAAAAAGTAGGAAATGACAGGGTAAATTAGATTTAGTAAAGCTTACTAGATTAAAAAAAATTAGATGTCATGTTTGAGTGTTCTTCATATCAATCCATTATTCATTTTAATATTTATATGATATTCCATTTCCTATTGAGGAAGAATCAAGAGGTTTCTATTTTTTTCCCCATTACAAATAGCTCAGCAATCAACATCCTGGTACATGTCATTTTGTACACAAATTCGAGTGTTTCTCTCGGGTAGCTGTCTTAAAGTAGAACTCATGTGTCATGGGATTTGTGCATCTTCCTTTTTGTAAAGTGTTGTCAAATTAATCTGCAAAATATTACCTGCTTGTTTTTTCTAATTTATACTATGACTAGTCATGTATATGAGGCCCTGTTTCTCCACTGTCTCACAAACTGTTGGTGTCATTAGTATTTGTAAATTCTGCCAGGTTGTTTATTCCCACATGTGAACATGTTCTATCTTACTACTTATTAGCTCTTGAAAAAAGTCTTTCAACAATGTTTATAATTTTCTCTTTTAATTTTCCTATTAGATTTAATCCAAGGTATCTTATCATTCTGACTGCTGTTATAAGTGAAAAAAAAATTTTAAGTAACATTTTCAATATCTTCACTTTTTTTTTTGGTCTTTTTCTTGCCTGCTAAAGTATCTAAGTTTTTTTTTATTCCTTCCCCAGCTTCTCCTCATGCTTTGGAAAAGAATGAGGGTTATACACTATTTTCATATACACAATTAACCTAAAGTTTTATGTTAGTTAATATAACTATCTTCTCAAATAATACAAGGATCTTACATGAGTTTATTCCACTTCTCATATGTCTTATTCCATTTTAGTTCTATCCTTAAAAAACACCTTATTGATCATTATTATTGTTGTTTTATATAGTAAATTCTTCTTAAATTTACTTCTTTTAAATCTTTTTTGTGAAGTATGGCACACATAGAAGGAAAGGTCATAAAATATAAATGTATGCCCCACAAATTGTCACAAAATGAACATCCACATAACCATATGAGAAACAGCCCTCCCCTACAATTCACCATAGGCAGACATTATCTGATTTTTATGGTAATTATTTCTCACTTTCCTTTATAGTTTTACTACCTAAGCATGCATCGGTAAACACTATACTTTGACTTTACACAAATAAAATCATCCAGTAAGTATTCTTTGTCTGGTTTCTTTCGCTCAATATTTATTCGTGAGATTCACAACTGCGTATAGTCATAGTCTTTATTTTTATTACTATGTAGTACTTCACTGTATATTTACATGACAATTTATCCATTTATTAGATATAAAATAGTTTATTCTCTTTCAGCTCTTTAAAAATGGAATTCGACTGATTTCTAGTTTCCATCATTTCTGTTGAGAAGATAGATGCCAACTAATTGTTGCTTATTTGAAGGTAATCTTTCTTTATTCACAAGCTGCTTTTAAGATTTTTCTCTGTTTTTTTTTTTGTTGTTGTTGTTTCCAGCAATTTAACAATGATTATCTATAGCTGAAAATTTCTTTAGTATTTCTCTTGCTTGAGGTTCATATCACTTCTGGAATCTATGGACTGATATTCTTTATCAGTTTTAGAAAGTTCTAAACCATTTTCTCTTCAAATACTGCTTTTGCCCCATCCTCTTTCTCCTGACTTTCTGGAATTTTAAAGACATTCTTATGATATGTTCTATCTTTCTTCATTCTTTTCATCCTCTGTCTCTGGTTATTTTTTGTCTAACATCTTTCAGTTCACTAACAATCTCTTCAGATGTGTCTAATCTGCTCTTTAATCCTATCTACTTGAGTTAATTTCAGTTACTGATTTTCTCATTCTCAGAATTTCCATTTGACATTTTTTTAGTTTCAAGTGCTCTGCTAAAACTCTCAATCTTGTTTCTCTTTGAATGTGATAAGTTATTTTAAAAGTCTATATCTGAGAATTCCAATATCCAGAGGCCCAATTTCTACCATCTTTTGTTTTTCCTTCTTCATATTTTTTGTCTTTGTGTATCTGATTGCTTTTGATTATAAGCCAGACATTGCATTTGCAAACTACAGAAATAATTTGTGACCTTGCATGATATTACCTTCCTCCAGGAAGGATTCTGCCAGATGCCTGGGGGCACTAGTGATTTAGGAACCCTTGATCAAATTTTAGAGAATGACATGATTCAAAGCTGATCTACAGCCTCTTTGAGAGCATGTCCACTTCTAGTTAACCTTTGCTCCTATACTATACCTCTTCAGGGTCTCAATTCAAAATGAGGCATGTACATCAGTTGTTCCCTCTCTGTGAGCCAGAGCCTCTAATCTGGGCTCAACAGCTGTTAAGCAGCACACTCCACCAATGGCTAATATCTCTAGAGAAACAGTGACCTTTTTTTCTGGTCCACCATATACCAGGACCTTTTGTCCTAGGCTCCCATTTTCCCCCTAGATCTTGTATGTTCTTTTATGCCTTCAAGCAAAAAAAAAAAAAATTATTCTGCTTCATATTCTTCCAGCAAGCTGCAGTGACTAGTTAATTCTATTAGCCTTTGCTTGAAAAAATATCTTTATCTCACCTATTTATTCCTGAAAGAGAACTAAACCGGGTATAAAATTTTAAGTTGACAGTTATTTTCACTTAGCTATGTGAATATATTATCCCACTGTTTTCTGGTCTCTCTTGCTGTCATTGAAAAGATTGCTGTCAACATAATGAATCTCCCTTTGTATGTCATCATCATTTTTTTGTTGATATTAAGATGTTTCTCTTTTTCTTTGGCATTCTCCAGTTTCACTGCAATAGGTCTAGAGATAAATTTTTATTATCCTATTTGAGCTCATGGTGCTACATGAATCTGAGTATTTGTGTTTTATCAATTTTAGAAAATTCCCAGCCATTCTATCTTTTAATATTGCTTCTACACTATTCTTTCTATTTGGACTTCTCACTTTAACACTGTTATCTCAATTTCTCTTTTATATTTTCCATCTCTCTATATCTCTGTGCTACATTCTGGGTGATTTCTTTAGATCTATTCCTCTGTTTATCACTTGTATCATCAGCTGAAACTACTGGCTTATGTTTAACCTGGTTGCTGAGCTTTAAATTCTGATGATGACATTTTCCAATTATTGTATCTATTTTAGCTTCCCCTATGAGAATTTCTTGTGGTCTGGGTTGTTGAAACATCCTTTAAGGCTTGCTTATACCTAAAAACCCTATGATATCATTAGCCCAGGATTCATTTCTAAATTATTTTCTCAGCTTGGGTCCCCCAGACCATAGATAGATGGGTGTGTGTGAATGTGTATATGTGTGTGTGTTTTAATCCTAACCGTGAGTCAAGGATCCATGGTTTAGAATTGCCATGGGAGATTCCTCAGCTCAGACAGATAAATGTTTTTGTTATTTCTTTGGCAGATATTTCCTGGTCTGTTTGTTTCAGAGAGGCCACAACCCTTTGAAGGTTCCAGTTAATAGTCCACACCTTAAGTGGGTTCAAAGACTCGTTTTCTGCCCCCAGTGGGTGCTAAAACCCAAACTCATACATTACCAAAACCAAAAGCTGCAACTCATATCTTTACCATTCTAATTTTTAGAATTTTCTTATTTCTAAAGATTTCCTTTTTTTCCTCTGAGAACTCAATTATGCATTTAAGAAAGTTTTAGTTATATTTACCCAGCAGATTTAGGCATTTGTAGAAGGACGGTTTTCAGGTTGCCTACTCTACTGTATTGCCAGAAACAGAAATGCCATGGCATTATTTTTAAACTTTCTGTCAGTGAAACAAATATGTTAATATTAGTGTATTAGTCCAGCTTTTCCAGTGACACAGAACCTATTGGATCTATAGATATCTATAGATCCATCCTATTGGTCACCTGAAAATATATAGATATACTGATATAGATGGACTAATATAGAATATTAGCTACCTGAAAAAATATATATCTAGATTGAGATCTTTATCTAGAACTCTATTTCTCTATCTAGCTATCTATAAAGAGATTAATTATCAGGAATTGGCTAACACAGTTATGGGGGCTGACAAGTTCCAAGATCTGCAGATCTTTCTGTTCTATTCAGGCTTTCAACTGATTGGATGGAGCCAATCCCCATAAGGAAGGGCAAATACTTTACTTAGTCTACTGATTCAAATGGTAATCTCATCCAGAAATATCCTAACACACCCAGAATAACGGTTAACCAAATGTCAGCACCCTGAGTCAAAGTGATACATGTAATTAACCATCGCTATTAGTAAACTCTAGTTTGATTTTTAATTAATTTTATTTTTTTCTAAGACCTAAATCAAGATTGCCTTTGAGACCTAACAACTCATACCTGTTACCCTACAACTGAGCTGACTCAGTGGTAAGTCCACTAGCTTTCTACACATGGACTTTACATATTCTTAATTCTACAAGTCTCTTTATGGATTTAATTTCCTCCTTTGCCAAAGGATGAGTTCAAGTCTCTGGAAGTGATGTGGAAGAAAAGTTTCACCTGAAAATATATTCATGATGTTTTTGTAAAACCTTTGGCTTATACAATCATCTATCTTGGTATCATGAACACACAGGTAATGACATCTGCTCACATCATATAAATCCCGATAATCTTTGGTTCAATGACATAACTTGGTACTAAATAAATTTTACCTGCACATTTTTCAAAATATAGCTCATAGTAACAAGTTTTCCACCATAACTCTGGGTTTCATTCATCATAAACTTTTACTAAATTATATTAACATTACCCTCCTTTGCTCCTCTTCAGCATCAGCAAAGAGTTTACGGATGTTAGCTTCTGATTCTCCCACATATTTGTTAAGGATTTCCGGCCCATTGACCACTTTGGGCTCTCTTGCATTCAACATTTTGCCAATCTGTCGAGCCAAGAGAGTCTTACCACAACCTGGGGGCCCATATAACAGGATGCCTTTAACGTGTTTGCAACCTAAAAAGGAAAATAAAACAGTCTTACATCAACTAACTACAATTCGAGTATGACAAGTAAAGTTTTCTCTCTTCTTTCTTCCTTCTTCTTCATATGCATGTTATGAAAATAGTGATGCCATTAACATATATAATATCCAGGTGCAATGAACAGAACAAGAATGAACGACTGAAGCTCTTTTAAAATAGAAAATCCAGAAACAATTCCTACACTAGTACCAATATCTGAGGGGGAAAGCTGTCAAATAAAGGTCTTTGGAAAAGTATGTTTGAACTATCATTTAGAATAAATACTTTTAACTCTGAAAATGTCTCTTTGAACTAATACCTAATTAGGAACTATTACTTATTTGTTATCATTCTTTAAAGTCAGAGGGAAAAAAAGAGCAGTTTTTTTGTAAATTTAACCCAACACAAATCTATTATGATACAGTAGGCTATGAAACCTCTATTGCAGGTCTACCTGTTAATACAAGCACTTGAAGAAAGGGCAAACATGTCTGAGTTGGATGGTATAGAGCAATCCATACAGTCCAGATGAATATTACAGGCTTTATGGGTAAAGTTGAATGTCCTACTTCATGTGAATAGTGCAAGTGAGGCACATGCTTTCCCAGAAACCACCAGATGAAGTTTCAGAAGCATAGTTTTCAATTCTTTCCTAGATCAGCATCGCGATATGCCTTAAAGGTATCATTAACAATAGCAAAATAGCAAGACTAATGACCTAGACTCCCAAGGATTTCTTTAGTCAACTCTACATGAGCATTTACTCCATTTTTTAAAATTAAGATGACCTATGGTTTCTGTTTACTCACTCTAGGAATTCTCACCTTTCTAGTAGTTTCACAATTAAGATGCATGACTCTTTAATGAGTTTTTTCTTTATCCTACACCAAAAAGGCACTCTGCAATAATGAATTATTAGGTTTCAGTGTTCTACTCAAAACTATAGGTGAAAAAGAAAATTTCTGGAAATGGAATATAAATCATGTGTTTTCATGGAAAATAGTTTGTCCTAATTTGGAATGAAAGTCTTAAAAATTATATCTTAAAAAATATGACAATATATTTAATAACTCACATAAAAGAAACTAAAGGTTCAACTAACTCTACTAGAAATTTTAGATGCTGAAGAGAAAGGCCCTTTCGGTTGCTAGTATGGTCATTGCTTCTATCGTTATATAAAAAAAAAAAAAAAAATTTGTTTTTTTCTTTTAAAAAAAAAAAAAAAAAAAAAAAAAGACTCCTTTTTAAGTCCCTGAAAGCAATGAGATCTGTGTGCTTATGGTAAGGCTTGCAGAGACAAGGGGAACTTAGGAGAAACCCTTGAAGGCTTAGAGTCTTAACCCTTCTCATGGCAGAGTAAATTCCTGTCTTATGAACCACGAACTGATAAAATGTCTTTGGCCTTCAAGCATGAGGGCTAGGGAGATAAAGGGAAAAGCCTTGAGCTTCTCCTAGAGGTTAATACCACCAAGCACTGCTGGCATCTAAATCACTGGGACACATCTGATGAGGACTTTGGAACCTGCCTCCTAATTAATCTTCCCCTCCAAGCCAACAGCTACCATTATGATTTGAAACTATTCACATATATGAACCACCTGCAGAGGCAGATGATGGTGGTCATGAAACAGGTACAAGGAAAAGAGAGCCAGAAAGAAGAAAATCAAGATTTGCTGCATATTTGTAGAGTACCAGACCTTATCTTCATTACCAGTTTCTTAACTTTCTCCAAGTTTATAAACCTCCTCCTAATCACACTTCCTTCCATATGAAGCCATACTTTCTTTCAAGGGCTCTCAATTCATTGACCCTCTTATACTTTTGGTGTACCCATCCCACAAGCCCTGAACACGATTTGGCTTTATTGTACCTATACAATGCATAGCCAGAGAAAATTACACCACTGTGCTGATATCCTCCCAATTTCGTGCTATCCAATTTCAGTTCTACTCTCACTGCTTCCTCAATACTGCATGCCACCCTTTACTTGTTTTTGTTAGTTCATCTCCCATTCCCCTTAGTGATTATCCAGATCCTCACTGTTCTTTCCTCAAGTGCTACCTAATGCCATTAATTCTTAAAGATGACCTAGATTACTACTCTGCATATTTTTAAAGACTATCAGGTATGGATTCCCTTCAGCTCCTAGACTCTGTATCTACATAATTTATCTGCAGACACAACCATTCTCAACCTCGACATTGGTTCTCAGAGGAAGAGTTTCCTTCCTCTACTCCAAGGTTTAAATTACAATTGTTTAGGGATATACTTTTTCTTCCATTAGACTGTGAACTATTCAAGGGCACCGTTCTCAACAATTTTGAGTTGCAAATACGTAGTATAATGCCTAGCACATAATATGTACTCAGTCACTGGCTGAATAAGTAAATTGTAGATTCCTTTCCTAAAAAAACTAAAAAATAAATGAGGGAGATAAGATCATTTTTAAAATTTTATTTAAAGCTCTTAATTTATGGAACAGTGTTTTTTCACAGCTGAACCAATTTAAATACCGAAAAAACACATTTGCAATGACTGGGTCTTCGCAAATTTCTCAAAACAAGCTACACAATATACAAACTCTGTCTTTACATGTGGAAAATGTTCAGTTTAATGTGTTTTGAATTAAATCAACTCAAAGCATATAAAATAAAAAATTCGTAAAATATTACCGTGACGTTTGAGAGAAAGAAATAAAACGAATATCCTTGGAACTTATATATAATATAGATCTCTAAAATGACAGAATCTATTCAATATAACGTCAACAGAAATGTCACAGAAGCTCTAGTCTACATTAGAACTATAATTCCTTTAGGATCCCAAGAAAGCACATCAAAAATATACACTGACACGTGGAAATTTTCAAAATCCACTTCCACAAAGGAAGCAGTTACTTGAATAAGCAGTGGAAATGGGACTTTGTTATAACTATTATTATTATAGCCGATTCCGACTTATTAAATAAGCATTGGTCTCTAATTTTAAATGAGTCATAAAAACTCTACATAAGTAATTCCATTCAACAAAAGTGTATTAAGCTCTGTTTGGACGAGGCACGAAACTAGGTGTTAGGGATACAAACATGAAAAAGGCGTCCCTACCTGCAGGGCATTCTGGTTTAATAGGAAAGACAGAAATAAAAATAGGTTATCTACAATATAATATGACATTATCAGAGATATGTATGAAATGTTTTTGGAACTTAGCCAAAAAAAACTGATTCTGTTAGGGTGATGGCAGAAAATTAAGGATGGATGTAGGGGAAGAGGTACTATTCACGCTGAGCCTTGAAGGACAGTAGCAGGTTCTTGGTTGGGCAACGGAGAAGAAATGGCACTCTGAAGAGAGAGACCGGAATGATCAAAGGCACAGAGGTGTGGACGCAGATAGACGCTGTCCTCTCCGAACAGCCAGTAGTAACCTGTTGCGGCTCAGCCTCGGAGGTGAGGAGAGGGGAGTGCCTGCACATGAGGCTGACAGGTTCCCAGCTGCGGAAGGCCTTGACACCATGCCCAGGAGTTTTTAATATGTTTCGTAAAAACTCTGAGGTTTTTAATCAGAGAAGGCACACAGTAAGATATGTGTTTAAAAACTAACTCTAGTGGTGGAGTGGAAGAAGGACTGGCAAACGAAGAGGCAGAAGGTGGAATTCTGCGAGGGGAAATAAATGTTCTCGACCTTTTTTCTGAGGATATTGCCCCACTGGCTGGCTCTGGATTTTCACCAGTTAAGCTGTGATATCTCTCCAAGTCCTATGGAAGTGCATGAACACATGGGTCCAGAGGGCTTAGGAGGACGCCAGCCTACTGATGCCCCAGGTTTCTCCTTAGCTTCTCCAGGACAGCAAAGCACAGCTCTGATGTAAGGGAGCCTCTGACCTCTGGCTGCTGGGCTGTTCGACTGCCAAGCTGTACTGAGCACTGTTACTTTTTCTTTATGTCTTACATGCCCCCTCACCACTCACAGATCAGTGCTCTGGGTCAGGGAACTACATGCAGAGGGCAGGCATAGAGAAAGGAGAAATCAGTGAAAGTGACTTGTTTAAACTGTATATACTCTCATTCTTTTGTTTTCTTTACCATGGAATAGTCTAAGGTACCTCCCCAGAAAAATGCACATGTACAAAAACTTGCACATGATTTCGAGGAAATTCTTAGATCCTCTCAGTTCCACTCATGGAATCCAAATTTAAAACTCCTGAATGTGCAACTGAAATAATCCAGACAAGAGAGTAGGAATGGAAAGAGTTAACAGTGGGAGGCAACGGTAGCGGAAAAAAAAAGGAGGGTATGGGAGATATTCATCAGAACTTAAGACACCAAACGAAAACAAGAGTTTTAAGCAGAGAAATGTGATGACAGGAACCATGCTGCAGAGATAGAGGATGAGGCCTGGAAAAAAAATACTACATTTAAAAATCAGGAAGTTCACCCTGATCAGGGCCACAGCGCCACAGGTCGGGTCAGGTCATTTCAGGTCGAGGTTTGAGAAAGGCGCCAAGTAGTATAAGCAGAAACAGACAGAGATCGCACTCTCAGGAACTGGGGCAACACAGAGGAGGGGCTTAGGGAGATAGAGGGCAAGGAAACCTCTGAGACTAGCTAACAAGGGGAGGGAGCTGAGGTTCTGCCTGTGGGGTTCTGCTGACTGTGTGAAGTAGGGGCTTAGGTCACTACGAAATGAGGAATGAGAAGATGATACTGGGAAACATGGTAAAGGTTTGCAAAGAACGTGGGGAATTGGGAAAATGTGCGGGAAAATGTGCCTGAGCAGACAGATACCATTAGGTAAGTAACCTCAGCACATAAAATTCAGGTCACTGAGGGACTCTACTCTTTGTTGTAATTATACAAGCAACTTACAGCGTTAGGTAGAGTCTTACTCTATTCTATAAACGTAAATTTCATCAAAGCTGGCAACAAATCTTGACTTTTTTGTTTTTAACCATCTCTTTTTTTCAAAACTGAATCTTAAAGTTTAGCAACGTGA